CACACACACACACACACACACACACACACACACACACAGGATACCCAGATGGAGAATCTAGATTTTCTGTCTCCTCCGACCCACTTGGGCAGTGGCTTGCAACATGAGCTTGGAAATAACTTGCCCACAGAGTGAACAGGTTCCTCAACTTTTCCAGGTTTCCTGATGGGAGACGGCTGAGCTATCTAAAACTCTGCCTTACAGAAAATCACCGAAAACACAAATTACATCACAAGTTCCAGCTACACCACGTGCCAGGAGTATTTCTCTTCTCCTTATAAAACGCCTGTCCTTTAAAGGACACACTCGTGGGCTTTAAACCCCCAGGTGAGGGCAAACACTCTCACGAAGAAAAAGCCACTTACCTGTTTAAAGAGCACTTCCTGACAAGCGGCTCTGTGGGGGGGACAGGCACTGAAACCTACATGCTGCTCAGCCCTCCACTATTTCGGCAAAGACAAGAGCAGGCTCAGGTGGGAGCTGGGCGCGAAACACCGTTCGTCCACCCAGGAGGGGAGAGGGAAGCTCAGGGTTCTGTTCTGCAGGCCGGGCAGCCTCTCCCCACGCCCACCGGCGGCGGGCCACGGGCTGTTGTGCAGCGAGGGTGTCCTCGGGCACCTCCTATCCAGCGCAGCAACGCCCCCTTTCTAATCGGTGGACACATCACATGTGAGGCCGACACCTTAAGAGGGCGGGAAGCTTCTCAACCAGGAAGACAGGCCGAAAATATTTAGCAGTCAGCTCAACGGCACGTAAGCAAAGCTTGGCTTGTTTTTCAGAAAACGATTTAACAACCCATGAGTCAAGACGAACTGATTTATACGGGTTCACACTGCGAACGATCCGGAACTATGCCTCCACTCTCCCCAAAACCTCCCTTCCTGCACCTGAAGCTGAAATTCTGGGTAACCACATCAGAAAAGCTGTCCTGAAACCTGCCAGTCACAGGAACACATTTATTCCCTCGGTTTAAAAAAGACAATTTTCCTCTATTCTCTGTTCTCATCTTATTTACTTTCACCTCAATCTTTACACGTCATCTCTCCTTGTGACCACAGATACCTATATGCCCAAGGAAACAGTAGTTTTGATTTAAAAATATCTTCCCGACCAGGCTGGGTACACACCAGCCTCTAGAAGCAGTGGGGGAAACTGTCCATGATTCTTCCCAACAATTTTTTTTTAATGTTTTTATTTATTTCTGAGACAGAGAGAGACAGAGCATGAGCAGGGGAGGGGCAGAGAGAGAAGGAGACACAGAATCCGAAGCAGGCTCCAGGCTCTGAGCCATCAGCCCAGAGCCCGACGCAGGGCTTGAACTCACAGACAGCGAGATTGTGACCTGAGGTGAAGTCGGATTTTTTTTTCATGTTTTAATGTTTATTTATTCTTGAGAAGAGAGAGAGAGAGAGAGAGCAGGGGAGGAGCAGAGAGAGACAGAGACACAGAATCCAAAGCAGGCTCCAGGCTCCACACGGTCAGCACACAGCCCAACGCGGGGCTTGAACTCACGAACCATGAAATCATGACCTGAGCCACAGTCAGACGCTTAACCGACTCAGCCACCCAGGCACCCCATTTCTTCCCAACATTTAACCCTTCATCCACCCAGGGCACTACCTGCGACGTGTGCAATTGGTTAGGAGTTGGATTCCCAAAGAGCCAAGTTTCGTGGTTTCATAAGGACTTTGTCCCTATGAGAGCTAAGTCCCGTCTCCTTTGTTCCTATCTGAATTTAAAGCCTGAGAACAAACATTAAACATTCTGAACACAAAACAGGCCACTGGCCTCTGGCATCAGATAACTAGTGAGCCGTCACATGATCTGAATTTCACTCACCCTTTCTGTGCCGGTGACAGAAGCTTTGAAGTCTCCCTTCTGGATTTTCTGAATGAGAACAGGGAAGAAAATGACGATCTGAAGCTCAGCCGGGAAGAAACAGCCATGGGGTTTCTTTGATGAGGTGTAGTTTTAGATCTTGACGTCTGTAATTCCACACGATCTAGACGAACATTGGAGAAAGGGGGCACCACTCAGTATTTCCGGGTGAATGTATCTCCGAGAACTAAGACTTTGATCTTGCTTCCCACCTCCCTTTGCAGACTGAAAACGCAGCAGGCATTCCCCCATGGAGACCCGAGGAATCAGGGGAGCTCTGTGCCCCTGACGGTTCTGCTGAACAGAGAAAATGCTTGGAAAGGGCAGGGAGGCTTTCAATACGCACCGTGGACCACAGTTCCGTGGAACATCCCTCCCTGTAAACCAGCTGTGCCAATCTGTTCGAGGCCCAAGGTGGGGTGTCAGGGACCTCATTCAACTTTCAAGTGGCTTTTAGCTGCCCCGTCCTTCAGACATTTTTATTTTAGTACTTTAAAACCATAGTGACAGATACTCTACATGTAACTTTTTGCAACCAAAGAAAGTCAAGGAAAAGGAAATGAAGCCATTTAAAGTGTTCCTTAGTTCCATCAAAAATCTATCTCTGTGTACGTGTTATTTGCTACAATGTGGTTTCTATGCGTGCGTGCCTATAACGGAAACAGGTCTAATAGGTGTAGAGGTAATGTATAGTTACATATGTGAGTATTAAAAACCCTAAGGCAGGATCAACGTATACGAAGTCTATAATACTGTCATACTTTTGGACATGCTGAATTTATAAACACTAGAGGGATTCCACGGAAGGGGGAAGCAGCCATGGTATACGTTGGGTTAACTTCAAAATCTGAACTGTGAGTCTTTTTAGAGAGGTTTATTTATTATGGGGGCTGTAAAATGTTGTCCATTTTACAGAATGGACAGAAAGCACAGAAGTGCTTACCATGTTCCAGCTCAGCACTTTGTACGTATACAACCGCCCTATGAGGTAGGTATCATCACACCCATTTAAAGATGAGAAAATTGAGGCTTAGAGAGAATAAGTAACAGAGAGAATACTAGTAACAGAGAATAAGTAATCCATGTGAACAGTCACATGGATTCTGAAAGAATAGAGAATACAGAGAGACAGAGTGGAGATCTGAATCCAAGTCTCCTTTGATACCAACTTGTGTGTCCTTTTGTTTTTAATGTTTATTTATTTTGAGAGGAAGAGAGAGAGGGAGCGCAAGTGGGGGAGGGACAGAGAGAGGGGGAGAGAGAGAGAGAAAGAGAGAGAGAGAGAGACAGGGAGACAGAGAATCAGAAGCAGGCTCCAGGCTCTGAGCTGTCAGCAGAGAGCCCAACTTGGGGCTCACACCCACAAACCGTGAGAACATGACCTGAGCCGAAGTCAGATGTCCAGCCGACTGAGCCACCCGGGTGCCCCTCAACATGTGTGTTCTTAACCACTATGCTATCTTGCCCCATTCTAAAAACACACCCCTAGGACATTACAGTACATTTTCAGTTGACTCTTCTTACTGTATGTTATGTTAGAAAACTCTTGTACCTTATGATTTTAAAATAGCCCAAAACATGGATTGGTTCATTGGAGTCCTTATCTATCATACCAGGCTATAAGAAAAAAAAAATTTAGACGTGTAAGTTTTTTCCTCACCATTTTCTGCCATCCCTTTCCTTAGCCTGTATGTGAGTGGTTGTTTCAACATCTGGCTAACGTCTGTTTCATTGCAAAACTTCTTTCTTTGAATTTCTTCAAACCATTCACCAGTCACTCCTTGAAGCCATCTGATATCCCTCTTTGTCTTCTGGAGTTTGCTGAAATGAAACAAAAATACCAATGTGCCCTTTAAATTTCTTCACATCAAGTGCAAACTCATGTGACAGGAGGCCAAACGTGACCTAGTAGAAGAACTGTGTAAACGGAGTCTGGGGAGAAAGCTGCTCTAGTCAGAATTTCCTTTTTACCACTGTGTCCATTTTTGGCTGTGTTTTTCTAAATACGATGACAATCTAAGTTTTGCTAGTCATTAAAATAATCAAGCTGGTAATGACAACCTGGGATGAGCAATGATCGATAGTTTAATGATATGGAAAACCAGAATATTCTAGTTCTTTTTTTAAAAAATATTTGTAAATGTTTACTTACTTTTGAGAGACAGAGAGATACAGAGCTTAAGCAGGGGAGGAGCAGAGAGGGAGGGAGACACAGAATCTGAAGCAGGCTCCAGGCTGTGAGCTGTCAGCACAGAGCCAAGCACGGGGCTCGAACTCATGAACCGTGAGATCATGACTTGAGCCGAAGTTCGATGCTTAACTGACTGAGCCACCCAGAATATTCTAGTTCTGATTACTCATTCATTCATTCATTCATTCATTCACTATTTATTGAGCAATGTCCATGTACCAGTCCCAGTGTGGACAGTGGGGATTCAACACTGAATATAACAGGGTCCTTACTTGCCCATCCAGTGGCCAAAGATAGAGTTAACATGCAGAGAAGAAATGGTTGAATCTAGTTTTAGATAACAAAATTCTCTGGGGCACCTGGGTGGCTCAGTCGGTTGAAGCGTCTGACTTCGGCTCAGGTCACGATCTCGTGGTCCATGAGTTCGAGCCCCGCGTCAGGCTCTGTGCTGACAGCTCGGAGCCTGAAGCCTGCTTCCGATTCTGTGTCTCCCTCTCTCTCTGCCCCTCTCCTGCTCACGCTCTGTCTCTCTCACTCTCTCTCAAAAATAAAGCCATTTAAGAAATTTCTTTAAAAAGTAGCGAAATTCTTTACACCCCAAACCACAAAAGCGCATGGAGGAGCCCACAGGTAATGCCAAATCTGCAAGGGCACTGGGATGTGAGATGTGAAGGGAAGGCGCCCAGAGCACAAGTGTGTCAGCCCCACGCCAGGCCCCAAATCCCACCATGCCTTCCTTCTCCTCCCTGCCCTCTCGTGCTCAGTCCTGTTTCCAATGAAAATGCCGCTCTAAGTCCTTAACTGAATCACTGGTGGTGATTTTTTTTTTTTTCAAAGCAGACGGTTTCGCTCCATTTCGGGAAAACGCTAGAACTGTTTGGAAATGAAAGGTAGTTAATCCAGAGGGCGAGAGAGAGAGCGAGAGCGAGCGTGCGTGCCCTGGACGGAGGCAAACAGCAGCAAGGGGAGACTGGAGCCCATGATGTGACAGGCTGGTGTGGTGCTGCTGAACATGTTGGGCTCGTGGGTGGGGTCCGAGCTTGGGCAGTTCTGCCGTCAGGGGAAGGATGGCATGTGACTCTGCATCACCCGCCCTTTTATGCGAGGTCCTCTGTGGAACACAAGTGCGGGGGAGCTGGTGTCACTAAGTAGACGGGAGCAAGCCGGCCACAGAGCGGCAAATCTGGGGTTAAAGGTGCTGAACCGAGGTGGCTGCAACCCACGCTCCTGCTTGGGGCTACGATACTGTCGTTTTACAAAATAATCGAGAAGGAAGCCAAAGGCCATCCTGCCCAGACTTGCATTTTGAAAAGCATCAGGCAGCAATGTCACGTCCAGCCCACAACATCCGCTCGGGGCCTCCGTGTGCCAATGCCGTCACTCCCCTGTCCTGCCACGTCCCTTCCGAACAGACTCAGAGACCCCAAGTGACTGTCCCTACCGGGTGCTGGCCGCCTCCAACTTCTCAATACCTCATTTATCAGTGCCCCGCGTTTATTCACCACCTCCGCTTCCTCCCAGTCCTCCCCCATCGCTAGAGCCCAACCTGCAGCACCAGCCCTGACGTCGACACACCCACCTCATGTCAGGACAGCCAAGCTACCTGACTTCGGGATTCTCCCATCGGTGTGACTGTATCTCTTGGTTCTTATTAGAGCCTTGATGCAATAGGGACTCTCTTTGAACATAATCACACTTCGCTCAATTTCACCTCAAGCTCTCACTCTACACGTGCGCTCACATGCATCGCCGCCTGTTTCTTCTTCAGCTTCTGGCCAATGAAGTCCGCAATCCGTATCTCTGCGGGAATGCTCATACGGTGTGAACTCTACTCTAGGAACTATGCCTCAAAGAAATAGCCCCCTTCCCTGTACGTTAATTTAACTGAACTTTCTGTAGTTTCTGGTTGTTGTTGTTGTTTTTTTTAACGTTGATTTGATTCTGAGAGGGGGGCGGGCAGAGAGAAAGGGAGAGAGAATCTCAAACACGCTCCGCTGTCAGCGCAGAGCTGGATGCGGGGCTTGAACTCGTGAACGGTGAGATCGTGACCTGAGCGAAGTTGGACGCTCAACCAACTGAGCTATCCAGGCGCCCCCTTTATGCAGTTTCTAAAAATAAGTATGCAAAGGCAATGCAGAATCCTGGGGAAATGCACGTGACATAGAATGAAGCAAGAAAAACAAAATGCACATTTCATAGACTATGAGCTACGTAAAATGCTGCATCCATGTAGACATAGTGGGGGAAAAAAACAAAACATCTGATCTCTTAGTGCAGAATAATTATAGATATCATTTCTATCTTTAGCTTTTTTTATTATGTGTATTCAGTAAATGTAATATATGAACCTATTCTTTCTTTCTGTCTGAATTTTTATTTATATTGTTGTGTTTTTTCCATTATAATTTTTCTTGCAGACAGAGGGGAAAAAAATCAGTTGTTTTCACAAACCTAACACAAACACTATTACCCATCTGACGTGATTTTTCACACGGCTGTGACAAAATTTACTGAATATTCATGTGTGGAAGTCCTCCTATGGTACAATGCAGGGATACGATGCTGAAGAGAGCAGACACGGTTTCTACCCCATGGAACTCTCCATCCAATAAGAGGCAGACTTGAGCCCGATAACAACAGAGATGTAAAGTAACAAAGAGTGGTGAGTATGATTTATTCATTCAACACACATTTGAAACTCTGGGTGAAGAGCAGTAAACAAGTCAAGTCCTCGCCCTCATGGAATTTACACCCTTTGGGGGCAAACAGTAGAAAAGTAAACAGGTTCTAGGAGAACACGAAACAAGGAGCCTCGTCTGAGGCGGGAGCAAAGATTCTCCTGTGAAGATGACACATGGCCTGAAGCTGAAATGAGGCCAGCCTGGCTGCAGTGTGGACATGGAGACGACGGACCTACTAGCCGTAGGGCAGAGCCGAGAGGCGGCTGCTAGATCATGCAGCGTGAGCATGGGGTGAACAGTCTGGCATTTAGTCCTGCAGCAGCAAGAATGCATTATTGACTTGGCAGTGGCATGGCACACGAGGTTCGCATTTTCCAAAGATCACCCTAAGCTAAAAAGCTTCTGCACAACAAAGGAAATCATCAGCAAAATGAAAAGGCAACCTATGGAAAGGGAGAAACCGTTTGCAAATCATATATCTGATAAGGGGTTCATTACCAAAATACATAAAGAACACATATAAGTTGGTAGCAAAAAGACCAAACGATCTGATTAAAAAATGGACAGAGGATCTGAATAGACATCTTTCCAAAGAAGGCATACAGACGGCCTGAGGGCACATGAAAAGATGCTCAACATTACTAATCACTTGGGAAATGCAAATCAAAACCACAATGAGTTCTCGCCTCACACCAGGCAGAATGGCTAGTACCAAAAAGACAAGAAATAACAAGTGTTGGTGAGGATGTGGAAAAAGGGGATACCCACGCACTGGTGGTGGGAATGTAATTTGTGCGGCCGCTGTGGAAACAGTATGGAGGTTCCTCAAAAAATTAAAAAGAGAACTACCACATATGACCCACAATTCCACTTCTGCGTATTTATCCAAAGAAAATGAAAACACTAACTCAAAAAGTACATGCGCCTCTGGAATTGTAATTGTATGGAAAAACAAAATATGACACAAATACAATTTTATATGTAATATGAAACTATATATGTATAATATGTATGTACAATACAATACATACACAATTATACACACACAACGGAATACTATTCAGCCATAAAAAAGAATGAAGTCTTGCCATTTGCCACAACGTGAATAGAACCTGAGGGAGTTACGCTAAGTGAAATAAGTCAGAGAAAAACAGATACCAGACGATCTCACTTACATGTGGAATTTAAACAACAACAACAAACCAACCTCATAGACACAGAGAACAGATTGGTGGCTGCCAGAGGTGAGGGATGGGGGGGCAGGTAGAGAAATGGGTGAAGGGAGTCAAAACCAAGTTCCAGTTCCAGAAAAAATAAATCCCGGGGACGTCATGTACAGCACAACAACCACAGTCAATAACAGAGTAGTACCTATTTGAAAGTTGCTAAGAGAGTAGATCTTAAAAGTCATCAGCACAAGAAAACAAGTTGTAGCTATGTGTGGTGATAGATGTTACTGAGGTGATCATTTTGCAGTGTCTACAAATATGAAAATCATTATGGTGCACACCTGAAAGTAATATAATGCTATACATCAAGTATACCTCAATAATTAAAGAAAATTAATTTGTTTAAAATAATCAAAGAAATAATTAAAGAAAAATAACTAATAGAAATAATTAAAGAAAAATAACTAAAGAAAAAACATCCCAGCTATAGGTGGGGAGAAGATTCCAGTGGAGAAGAGGAGAGTAGTCAGGGTACTTGCAGGGTCCAGGAGAGAGAGGTGTTTTCTTAGACCAGGATGATGGTGGTGAAGCAGAAGAAAAGTAGAACGTGTTCAGAGCTACTGTGTGGGTAAAATTTACCTCCAAGTGCCCACCGAGTGATGAAGTAACTCTGGAGAGCTAGGAGTCAGAGACATGCCAAGGAAGATGCCCCAATTTCTGATTCACACAGGTGCACAGATGATGCCATTCACAGAGATGGGGCATACGTAATCTTCAAAA